TAATATGCTATACTTTATATATTAAACATAAATTTATTCGATTCTTAACATTTCAAATATTAATATTTGTTGAAAACAGATACATAGAATTGAGTCTCCTATAAGAGAAAGAGAGATAGTCTATTATAAAATCCAGAATTTTGTTATTAATTTACAGAAAAATGCGCTGGTCAAAAAATCTGAAAAAATTTACATAAAAGCATGCTTTGTAGATAAAGCTATGTTCCAAATTTCAAGCAATTCTTAACATATTGCATTCTCCTTACAACCTCCTTAAGGCACACACAATGTCTAGAGATATTTTATATGAAAGATATCATTCCTCTCAAAATAATAATACTTAGCAACGTTTTTATAATTTTTATACCAAGTTTGTCTATTAATAGTCACGAATTCTGCCGCAAAAGGTGTTTAAAAACAAAGGAAACAAAGAAAATCAATAACCAATGGCCACTTGAGAGATTCAACGAAATTTCACGGTGGAATATGCAGCGAATGCGGCTTACGTAACGTGTTCTTTTCATTCCCATCCCCTTTAGCGGGAATATGTGAAGACTCGAGGGAAAGGGTTTTCGGTCGTTCAGATCTGTGGGGGACCTTCCGATCTCATGATCAGCGGATTCGCAGTAATCGTTATTTACTGCTCGTGAAGAAAAGGGACGAGAAGAGGTGTCAGCATTTTGGTTAACGTCAGGGACAAAAGTGCGAAAGTTGCTTTATTCTTAGTTGGAAAGGGTGGAATAAATTCGAAACGACTGAACACGAAGAAGTCATGTAATTCGAATACGATATGACTTTTGTGTTTTCGTTTTATGCCGGTTCAAAAGCTAATCAAAATAAGAAATGCATTCTCACAAAAAATGATAATGCGTTAGTTAAAATACTAAATAAAATTTTTTTATTTTACAGAATAGCAAATAGATCGAAAAATCAATGTGGAAAGATCACAATAAAAAGAGAAAGATCATAATAAAAGGAATTTTTTGTCGTTCTTGACGTGAATGCAAAAACGCGATGTCTTACACTCGTTATCGAATAATGAACCCGCAGCGAGAGCACTTGGACTTTAAGTATCCTTACAGCTGCTATACAACAACCTGTCATACGTCTGGCATCAGGAATCTTCGTCCCACAGTCTGCAGCAATAGTGCGTAGTTTTGTATATTTCAAGGAAAATCTAATTACGTTGAGATGTAGTATGCATAATAAATATAGAAGCAAAATTTACATTCCCTTCAGAGAAATTCTAGAACAGAATCTCTTTAAAAAATCAAAAAGACATTCTTAATAGAATTTCTCTATAAAATTCATATTTGTAGTAGTTTTAATTGTATTTTTATATCCAAATACTGTTAAAACTGCTACAAATATGAATTTTATCGTACAGTTCTAGAACATAAAAATTATATACATAAATTAGATATAAAAAAATAAGTAAAAATAAGACTGCTCCTGTGATTTACAAGTAATGTGAAAAATTAAGAATACAAAAAAGTTAAAAATATGAATTTTGCTATTATATTTTCTTTTCTCCTTACATAAAAGATGCAATATTCTGACTAAATATTTTTTTATTTACATCGATAATGTATTTTATATTAACTAGTGTTATAAATTTTATTTACCTTCCAGGAAGTCATGAAAATTGGAAGTCGTCTAATTTAAACAGAAATAACAGTGAGATATATAGAGAAGGTAAAAAACGTTCAAAAAAATTATTTATAAAATTATTTAAAAAATATGAAATTTCACACACAGACATAAAGGTTTACAATAATTATTTTAATGATCAGCGATTCTAACTTTATTATATACATTAATCATTTAATTGCATTATTATTAATTTATAGATATTAATATTAATTTATGAATATTAATAATATCCGATTAAATTAGATTGCAATATTAATGTTTGCTAGCTCATTATCTAATTATATTATTTAGATTAATTATATTTAAAAAATTATAGAATATTGGGTAAATGTTTATTTAAATAAAATAAAAATTAATAAAAAAGTAAAGTTCGATCATAGAATTTACTTATTCATTTCTTGACTTACAATTAACCGATTTATTAATTTCTACAACTTATTGATACAATCAACCCACTGTCTCTCCGAACAATACGACTCGAAGCGTATCAGTCGCAGAAGCAAACGAATATTAATTTAGTTCGGAATCCCTGCGTCGTAGGCAGGAGCGATCCGCCGTTTCCAGACTTGGACATACATATGGGGAGAATTGCGAATGCACATACGTACGAATCGACGAGGCATCATAAATCGGCGCCGGTGGTTTCGATCGAGAGAATGCAAATTCGTCTAAAGCTCTTAGAAGACAGCAACGCAACGCTATATCTCAGAAACCGCGATCTCGTCGCGGAAAACACGAACTTGGCGAAACGGTGAGATTACCATCGTGATTACATAATTATGTTTTCGCTAAATAAATACCCTGCATGATGCAATTACATTCACGTTTTGACAAATACGTTTCGAACAAGTTCCCTCAAGATAAACGATATGCAGGCTGGAAGAAGATGCAACTAAAATGGAGAAACTGTTAGAGAATGTATCACTATTGCAAAACAAACTTGAGAAACTCAAGCTGGCTGATATATTAGCGAAACAAGCGGTAGGAACAATATTTATTGAATAAGAAAGAAATGTTTCTAAAATATAATTGAATGATATGTATATGTGAAGATGCTATGCTGCAATATTTATATTGCATAATGAGTAATAACCAATATAAAAATGAGATATCTATGTAATTAGAATAACAACGGAGGAAATAAAATATATATTTAAACCTTGACCCAAATTATATTAATTCTTTTTGATGGTATTTTATCACATTATTTATTGTCATAAACTTTCTCTTATTTTCTCGTTTATTATAATCTCAAACTTTACCATATATGTATGTAATTAAATTTTTATATAAAAAATTTTTATATTAAAACTGAAACTTAAAATTAAAGTTAATAATGTAGAAAAAGATAATTATAAACGTCAGTATTTTAAGAAATACAAAATTCTAAAATTCTTATCACTGCAATTTTTCACGTGTACATAAAATAAAAGAAAATTTACGTATTTCTTTAATGAAAATTTACTTTTCTATGTAATTTTCAGAAACATAATGAGGTATACTCGGAAAATAAATGCACCTCCTCGACGAATATAGTTTCCAAGACAAGTTGCGGATTACAAATTTGGGAAACCTGCAGAGATTGCCATGGAGAATTGGAGGGATGCCAAAGAGAATCGCAGATCACAATCACGAAGTAAGTTCTCTAGGGATTGAAGGATGAATTCATCCTCATATTCTATCTCATATTATTACTTTATATTATTATTTTATATTATTATTTTATATAGCTCAATACAAAACATCTTTGTACTGAGCTATATAAAATAGAGTCATTAATAAACAAGATAACAATATGGGCCTAAATTACTTTTGCAATACATTTTTGTACAATTTGCTTCAAGCAATTTTATTTAAACATTTTCGTCGATTAAGAAGCTTATTAGACAAAAACGGAGAACGTAAAGTCTTTTGATCATGAACTCTTCTTCTTTTATCAAATATCAATGGAAATGGATAAAGTCGATTGAATATTTTGAATAACGCTCGTTTAATCTCACTTTGTCACTGTGCCTTCCCTTTTGAGGATCTATTCTCAATTGTGTTCGTAATTCGCAACTCCTCGATTAGATCGGAGTTTGAGTTACTAGAAAGGGATATGAGGACTTTGAGAGACGCCGTTATCGCCCGGGAAGAAGCTTGGGATAAAGCGGTGGAGCGCGAGCAGAATTGCCAGCAACAATTAGCACGACTGACCACGGAGGTGATCACCGCGCGTCACCTTTGCGAAACTCGTCAGGACGAACTTCGCGCAGTTACGGATACTTTGACGGTAATATCGATAACCGACTGCTCGATAGCATATATCGGAGAACAGAAACTAGAATGTTAGATTGACGTACGGCGTGCCGTGATATCGGGCTAACTTTCGTATAGAGAAAGATTTAATTATGTAAATATTTTAATGTAATTCTTGGCCCTTGAGGGCCATGGCACACAAAAAAATTTAAGCAGTAAAACGTAAGCAGATTGACCAATCACGATAGAGTCTGTAAGACCATAACGTAAGCAGTAGCCATCAATCCAACATGTTGATTTCCTTATTGTTTACGTCTTACTGCCTTGAACTTTTTATGTGCCATAGCCTTTACACATGTTGCATCATCTCATTTATACGCATGGCATGCGATACACGTGGAATTTGATTATTTAACATCGGTTTGCTACTGTTAACAGTTATTAACATGTTGATTACCAAATATGAATTAACTTAAATAATTGACAATCTAAGTGGATGTTAGTTATTCAATTTAACTTTTTGGAGGAAAAAAAATAAAAGTTTTATTGTTTCGATGAAAATTAATGTAATCAAGTAACATTAAAATATCGTGTTGAAAAATGAACAAAATTATTTAATTGTACAGTAATAATCAATGTGTGTTAAAAATATGTTTATGCATTTTACATGAAAAAGATATTGTTGTATTAATAGTATTAGATAACAATAATCTAATTAAAAATAATCTTATTATTTCAATATCAGTATTATTGTTTAGAGGACAAGAAAGCCACTGTAGTAACATTGAAATAATATATTTTTTGAGGCAAATACAATGAAATATAATATAAATATAATAAGTGAAATCTTACTTAAGGAAAAACTGTTTTTAAAAGATTTAAAAAATGGACTTCCGTCCTCTAAATATTTAAAAAACTTTAATGTACTAATATTCTTGCTGTAATATAATGTTATTTGTTCTATCAAACTGTTACTGAATTAACAAGATTATTTTTAATTAAATTGCTGTTAATTAATGCTACTAATGAAAAGAACAGTTTTGTAGATATAAATTTGAAAATAAATTTTGTTGTAATATTAATAAATATTTTTCAGACTGATTCTTTGTAATATTTTAAAAGAAAAAGTCTAATATGAAAATGCCAAGGATAAAATAATTTTCAAATAGAAAGAGTTTTTATAACTTTTGATAATAACTGTAAAATTCAGCATCATCACATCATCTTTGAATGCGCAAAATTTTAGCTTTGTTATTTGAAAAAATTTTAAATTCTTCTCATTTGAAAAGTATCATAGCCTCAGATCTTCGTATAAGACTTTTCTTAAAATATTACAAAGAATTTGTCTTTAAAATATTTATCAGATTTTACCTTGCATAAGACACTCAAGCTGATTGTCATGCCAGAACGGCAAAATTTGTGTAGCCTTGCTCATCATGCTTGAATTTCCTACATAATTATTTTGATGTGATCCAACAATTAAATTATTTTAAAATCTGTATGTACGTATATACTTAAATTTTTAGGTACTCAACAGAATTTGTCTTTCCACGTATTAATATCCATTACTTTTATTCATGTATTATTGTCTCTATAGAAAAGCTTAATTAAAACGCGATAATTAAAAATTGCATTACATTTTTTCATATTCATTATGGCATATATCACGATAGGAATTAATATTAAAAATTCATATACCTTAGAGAATTATTTTAATTAATCCAGGAACATAAAGATTTGTTTTGTATCAGCGGCTTTTCATTTATAGGAAAAAGAATCGGAGCTGAAAATAATGCAGAAAGGAACGCTATACCTGAACAAATTAATTGCGAAGCTGCACCTACGTCAGAAGTAAAAACGCTTCTCGCATCTATTTTATTCATAATAGACCAACCATCCGTCTTTCTTTCTCTTTCGTCTAAAAATTGTAGTTGCCGGGAAATGCGGTACTGACGCTTATTATGCACGTGGCGTGGCATGCTAGCATTTTCGTTGAAGCAAAAGATATCTTTCACTGGTTTTCAGTCAAGGTTGCGAAAAATGAAAATTCCAGCAACCGCGCTCGTAAAAGATTCATCGCGAAGGATTCGAAATGCAACGCAAAACGTTCGCGAATATGGCGGACGTGTCAGTGCGGTGATCATCGCGAATGAGCAAAAACTACTTGCCTCGATTAATTCGTTATAACAATCCGTCGGTTGCACACTCCATACTCCTCGCATCCTCGGCATCCTGGAGCATTCACGAACATTCGCGACGTTCGTCGAACAACGCCAATAACGTAGAATACTCGGCAAATCGTTTCTTTCGATCGGCGAAATAATCGCGACGCGATCCACTCAGAATCGACTGTCGTGAAGTTGCCGCGGTCGCGTTGAACGTAATCGCGCGCACTTTTCATGTGTTTTAAGGCTAATCTACAATGTGTTTTTACTTCCTGTGTTATTTGCTTTTTACCTTTTTCTTCGTAACTGTTTTTTATTGACAATCACGTCTCTTTTCTCAACATTTATTCCGACAAAAACAAACCGGATAAGAGGTCCATATAGTATACTTCAAATATTTGAGAGATTCTGGAAAAGACCTTAATGCCTATTTCTATTAATGTAGTTTAGTTTTAATCTCGGTTCAACGGACTTTTTATCCCTTTTAGTTCTAAGAATTAGAAAAAGATGGAGATCGAGTAAGTTGCGCCGAGATTAATAAGTTAATCTATATTGGTTGCGTTCAGCAGAGAAAACTAATCAGTTAGTGATTCTTTAATATGATTGGTTCCTATACTTTACATCATAAAAAGAAATTTTTAATTAATCTTTAGATTGAAGTATTAAATTCTCGAGTCGAGTTTGTCAAGTAGTAATCAAACTTCATAAAAAATAGAAGAGGTTGAAATCAATAGAAGGACTTGAAATAAAAAATACAAGAGCTTGAAATTGAGCTGTTTTATTTTTTATAAAGCTTAACTTCTATTTGACGAATTCAATTTTAAAGTTTAATTTCAATTTAAGAATTAAGGAAAATTTTCTTTTTACGATTTCTGGCGAGCTTTTTGCTGACTTTAACTTATAATTAAATAAATATGTTATAATGTATTGTGCAACTTTAAGGAGCTTGTTACTATTTCAGAGAGCTCGAAGAATACGCGAGCAGTGGTGTAAGTTTTAATATTAGCGAGAGGGATCAAAGATGCATCGAAGAGATTGTGCGGCGCGTACGAAACTCTAAAAGCAAATCAAAGACAAAGCCCAAGTGCACTTCGGATAAATACCCGCGTTCAAATTCAAGCAGCCCTTGCGAGAATAAGAACGGATTGGATCAGGCAGGTTCCTCGGAGGATCATCACAAATTAAATTTGTAATTATCGTTTTATAAATCAGCTTGTTATTGTCTATTTATATAAACTTACTGTCCACGATTTTTTAGTAGTACTAAATATTCTAAATACTAGCAAATATATGCATATATACAATTGATACTTTGTTTCTTTTTACATCACACAGCATGTTATTTTAGTTCTTCGAAACTCACAATAAAATTTTTATATTTCTTGTAAAAAAATCGAACCGACGAACACTTTAAAAAGTATCGGTGTGGATTTAATATCACGCAGTGTCTTTTATTTATATATATATCATCATGGATGTAAAACCCATGGTGTTAAATCCATACTGTGATGATATGGATTCATCATGTTGATATTAATATTAACACCAACAGAATGATATATAGATACCGAATGAAGTTAATTAAATTCACATCGATATTTTTTACCTATAGTATCCATCAATAAATCTGCAAATTAACTCATCTTCAGCAGTCAATGTGTTATAATCAAATGTTATGTTATGTCAACGTTAACTCGGAAATAGTCACTTGATTTTTTTACATAAGTAATCACTCCATAAGGAATGCGCAGTCCATTCTTATTACGTCTATGATTGCTTACAATTCTTACATCAGTCTCTGTGATATAGATTCTCGTTAGAGATAAAAGAAGAAGAAATAATATTTTGTGATAAAAGGAATGTCACCGCTGATCGAAACTAAAATTGAAATTGCAAATTGATACTCGATGAAAACTCGTACTTTAACCAGCTGGGACAGCGTGTACCGGATAGTGACGAATAAATCACGCCAGCAAATGAATGTACATTTTTCATCGTTGAACCTCCCGAATATTTAAATCGAGAAAATGCGGTACAGTAAATCGTGCTTCTCTCACATTTTGATAAATTGCCGAGATCAATTTTATGGTAAATCGCAATTCTCTTTCGACCTATCAACCCCGTCGAATTCTCTTTTGTTTATAATTTCTACAATTATTCTCTTAAATTATCATAAAATATAATAAACAAAAGAAAGTGAGGTACGAAAAAAAGAATCTAAAATATAGATCTTTTCTCTTCAAAATTTCTATATAATTATTTTGTTTCCAGTGTTTTTATTTATTTATTGATAAAAAGATCAAGCAAATCACTTCCAGCATTTTATGCGAATCGTGGCGCTATCTGTAGCGCAGAAATTAAACGAACGATCTAAATGTTCACTTTTAACGTCCGTCGATAGGATCGTCGCAGATATTTAATTAACCTGAACAAAACAAATACATCCTTTCTCTGTTCCAACTTCTTTTTTATCATGCGACCTTTTTCAAAGGAAAATTTACTGTATTTTTGCAATTATTCCTCTCTTTTGCGAGTAAAGAAATTTTTCGTAGGTCTCCAGTCTCTTATTGTGTTTATTGCAGTTTTTATGGAGGGTCTATAAGGATCTAGCTAGCCTTACCATTTGAGTCGAAGTGACACACTTAAAATTAAACTCGCGGAATTTAATCGAAATTATGCGGATTGCAGAATTCTCTCTCGTCGACAGTTTCAGCAACATTGCTGTGGATATAATTAAACAAGCTGTTGTCTTTTATTTTTGGATAGCATCGCCTGTAGAATGAAGATAAGTCTTAATGAACATTATAGTTAATCGTCAATAAACAACACAAGCGATAGATTAAGAATCCGGTCACTTAGGCCGTGGTCCGAATCATGCTGACAACGCTCATGAGCATTGTTTGTCTTCGTTTAACATTTGACAAACAACAAGGATGAAATGATTTTTAAGCGTTGTGAGCGTGTATCGGACCGTGGCCTTAATGTGACCGAGGATAAATTATCACGTTAATCAACAAAGTTGTTTGTTTCACAAAAAGTACATGTAAATATTATTCGTTCTAGCATTGTTTTTTAATTTTCTTTATAAATTATACGGACTACAGACTAATTAACATTCATTCATTATTGATTCATTAAATGCTATATATTAATCCTTAAATTAAATAATATATCGTTGCATTTATATAAATAATACCAGCGAAATATTGTAAAAATAAATGAATGTTAATTATTTGAATTCAGAATTTAAAGCTAAGTGCACCTTTAAGTTCACGAGAATAGTCCATATAGTATAATATATACTCAATAAATACGTAATGTAAATAAAACATACGAAGTTGAAGATTTTTAGCACAATCGAACTTTCATCGTTTTGATATGGCAATTTTTTTAAAGTTGAATTATGGAATATAAATATAATTAAAACCAATCATTTGATACGGTCGTCGGAATAATTATTGCGTTAATTAACGAAGCTATTTCTCTCATAGAAAGTACGTGTAAATATTATTTAGCATTGTTTTATTTTTTTTTAATTACGAAGTAACATTTATTCGTTGTCGATTCGCCACAATGCTATTATAATTCTTAAATTATATCGTTGCAACATTCATATATGTTATTCGGTAAAAATTAATGTTAAATGTATGATGAATTCAGAACTCATGCGCATCTTATTTGAGCTAAAAAGGTAGTGGTCCATGTAATCAACAAAAATATTACGTAAGTAAATCATAAAGAGTTGGAAATCTAAATAATTTTTTACGTGTGAAAAGAACCGCGTTAATTTTCTTTCGAGTTTTCAGCACAATCGAATTTTCGTCATTTTAATATGATTTTTTTAAAAATTGTAGAACTGTAAAAACTGAAATTATTAAAAAGTTAATCATTTGATGACGTTGGATTAATTATTGCGTTAATTGATGAAACTGTTTCTTTAGCAAAAAAAAAAACGCGAAATAATTATTAATAATCACTAAAAGTTCGAATGTTATCGAGACAGATTACTTAGCGTTAACTAATTATTAGTGTTAACATGTAATTACGCAGTTGTTCCTTCATAAAAGTGCGTAATATGAATAATATCACATTTTTCATATTGTTTATTAATTTTTTAAATAAAAATTTATGAATAAAAATAAATCACAAAGTAACATTCATACAAATTCGATTTGCCATTCTTTATCAACAAATCAAATCGATGCAGAATCTACTCGATCAGAATAGTACTTGATAGTACCAATAAAAATATTATAAAATTTAAATGTGTATATGAATTCAGAATTTAAACGCAATACAAAAGATAATCATTTATAAACAAAAAATATCACATCAATAAAATATAAGAAATTACAAGTCCAAGTAATCTTGTAAACATGGTATAGAAAGAATTATATTATAATTATATCATAATCTTCTTCAATTTTTTAAGGCTTATATGTATACCTATTCCTTTGACATGGTAATTCTTGAAAAGCTGCATTCGAAAATAGAAAAGAAAACGAGAAGAGCAAGGGTGAAAGGAGAATGGAGGAAGAATGTTTTCACTGTTTATCTTAAAAGATAGAGGCTGAACTGCTGGAGACATTCGCAGAGGCGGAGGCAGAGGAAGAACGTCGACATAAAGACGCCGGGAACGTCCTGTCGTGCAGTCAGTCCAAGTCAGTCGCAGCTTGAAAATCGCGGGTGACTTGCGCTCCGCTAAAATCAATGAGCACATTCCGCGACGAAGCCGTCCGCGTCGACGACAGCAGCGCGACTCGTCAGCCGTGCGACACCAGCATCCGCGTCGTGGGTGCCGCCGCTTGGCCCGGCTTGCTCCGCCGTACTCTCGACACCGTTCTCCGCGGCACGTATCAGCCGTTTTTACGTTGGTGCGACGTGGATCATGTAAGTGCGCGTCACGACGAAATGCCGTCGTCAGGCCGCGAAGACATGGATCTCTGCACCGACAAGGTCCTTTCCAAGGGCCGGATCCTGCAAGAACTCACGAAGGCCGTCAAACTGGTGAGCGACTGATTGTCGTCGAACACCCGGTCCGCCAAGGCCACCTTTCTATATGTGTATACATGCCTGCTTGCTGCTGCTGTTGCCGCATGCGATGCACAAGCTTCGTGAATTGTGCAACGATTTGTACAGCTCTAGCTCCTTACGTGCCTTTCCCCTCTTCTCTTGAAAGCATGGGTACCTGCTGCACCTAAGAGCGCTGATCGAACTGTAGTTAATGATATAGTCGTGTGCCTCTTGGACACTACGTGGAGAGAAACAGTGAAGAAATTGGGATTATTGTTGTATATGTATAATCTCGGCGAGTTCGATCTTGGATGCTTATAGACGCGAAAAGTGTGTCTTATTACGTCAATTATGATCTCGTCAATCTCGTGAGACAGCTGTAGAAAACACTTTCGTGACTACGCGGCATCAAAGTCTATACTCGGCGACGTTGCACCGGTCTGTCATTCTTGACCTAGTGCCAGTCGTCGCATTTCCGTCGCCAGGAGGATAAACTTGGAGATTATTTTATGGCACAAGATCAGACCTTGTTGATGTTTAATTATATCGGTTTGCAATTTTCGAATGTATTTTCAGGGTATCAATCATGAATTTATTCTTAGGATGGAAAGTGAAGAGTGAAAATTTTTATCATTGAAGTTATAAATGGAGAAATTTTTCACTTTTCACTTTTCATCCTAGGAAAAAAGTTTTATGATTGATACCCAGATGTCAATTTCTGTCAGTGTGTTTAACTGTTTAATACATACAATAATTTTCCAGTCTTCCATGAATCATTTGTGTTTCAAATTAATTTTCAATACTTTCACAAGTATACAAAAAGTATTAAATGACTACATATATTTTAACATCTTTAGAAAGTATTTATAAGATTGTGTATTTAAAAAAATTGTATATAAATCTTATAACTCATTAATTGATACCCCTAATTTTTTGAAGAAAAGCAATGTGCATGACACGAATGACCCGATCGTACGTATTAGTATACACGATGATTTTCTGATCTTTTATTATACACTATTCATGTCTCAGATTAATTTTCAATACAAGTATACAAAAATTATGAAGTAATTCTTACGTATACTTTGACATCTTTAAAAAGTATTTGTAAAATTGTGTATTTAAAAACAGGAAAGAATAAAGATCATTATTTAGTCAAGTGTTTCTAGTATTTCCCAGAGTATTTCAAAGAAAAGAAATTTAATTACGTAAGATACGAATAACCCAAT